TGTTCATTATTGTCTAAGGCATCTCGCCATAAACCTACCGTTAGATGCTTTGACTCAAAGTGGCTTCATCTGATTGAGGGCACCCGTAGAATGCGTTGCAGGTTGGGAAAGAATGTTACCACGCAGACCTCCTGCCTCGAGTCTGCCTCTGCAAGTAAAATTGCTTGCACTCACAATTTCCGCAATCCGTTTTTGAGATTTAGTAACCTTTGCTGGCGCCTTAAAATTGGGTCCTATCTTTATTTCATCTCGAAGAATTGTGTTGAAAGAGGATTCACTTGCTCTCGTTGTAAATAATGCGGCTGCAAATCTGATGTAATTTTCGGGGTTTTGGCGCAATGTGTTTGTGTTAAACCTCGGTTCATGGACGAGAGCGAGGCCAATAAGCGTAACTTAGCCATGACTCTATTCAACATCATTCCTCCCAAATTCGCGAGGATGTATATGCCCTAAGGTATACACAGCGCTCACATTGCACATTCATGAGCGAATGTTGTTTGTGCTACATAGTCAACACAAACAAATGAACCTCAAGGTTGGTGGAATTCTGCCTTTTAAAGAAGGGGAGAAAGGTTGACGTAAGTTTTCAACAACGTTAGTCATAAGGCAGTTGGTCGAGCCTGGTGGGAGCTCCTCCACTTAACCCTCAAGGTTGGATGCAATGCAGTCGGGGACAGGCATCGTAGAAAAATGTTCCACTAGGAGAGGATTTGGGTGATTCGATTTTGATGTTTAGCTGCTTAAAGTTATATGTATCACTTTTTGGTAGTAGAAATATTACTGGTCTGCGTGAGGAACCTTTGCAACATCACCTGTCGCGAATAAGGAAAGCTCTGACTGAAGTCAGCATTATCTTGTAGAAACATGGTTGAACACTGAATAGTAATTCTTGCATATAAAATCCTAAAAAGCAACAACAAGTCAAAAGGGATGTAGTCGATCTCGCTTCATAATTTTGGCAAAATAAAATGTCAGCGAAAGCTGGCTTTTGTATTGCAGCATTGGATGAGAGAGCAAACCATTGGTTTCCTCAAACAGTCTACTTGGCCACACACCTCTTCATCCCGATAATGGTGCTTGCATGATAGCTGTTGCAGCAACTACGATTTGGGCCATTCACAGGGACTTTTTCTCTTGCCGGAATGGCAAATGTTAATGGCTGGGATCGGCTTGGTCTATGCTACTTGATGAAATGTACCTGAAACTCATTTTAATAAAACCGTTTGGACTATTGAGGGAGCCACTTATTTGACAGAAGTTTCCCGTATTAAGTCTGCTGAGTTCGAGTCATTTCGCTTTCCTTTTTCGTTACCACTTCAAAGATCCTCCCGATAGCCGTCTCTTCTACCCAGCATCAGGCAATGTGCCGTTACGGCAACTCACTTTGGCTCCCCAAGATACAAATAGCTTAAGCTGATATCCTGTCGCTGGAAAGATTATTCTTTACAACTACGTTTTTTTGCCAATTAAATCATTTCTGAAAGTCAAGTGATAGAATTCCACCATCTTGATTGTCTAATGCATGTAAAGTAGACTTGCTTGACCCCATAATTAGCTTGCATTACCTACCAAACGAATTTCGGAGCCAAATTCAATGCCGAATGTAGCCGAGTGGATTCCAACAAAAGCGACAGTGAAAGAGGAATTGCAACACTTAATCGAGTCATCGAATTACAGAGCGAATCAAGTAAAGGAGAGCGGTCAAAACTACAAATCCAAACTGACTCGATTGTCTGAATTAAAAGGTGTATCAAAGGATTTGCGGTAGAGTGCCTCCACTTGACTTAGTTCGTCAACCACAAAAAGGCCTCGTACATTTCCAGACATGACGCTGCGTATTTTTATAATACTGTTTTAATTGTCTCATAACTTCTGAATTATTAATGTACCCAGTACAAGACAGCCTTTGCTCTCTTGGTATTTCCTTACCAACTTAATTCATAAAGGAGGTTCAATTGTATGGAGCCAATTGAAAACTAAACAATGTATAGCAATATCGTCACCATAACGTCAGTCAAACGTCGTTATCACTGCAACGTTTATTTTATCACCTGTTCATTCTAGTTGCTTGCGACTAGAAATTATTTTTGCATGCGAAGCAGAGTTCAAAGCTGATGTGGTCTGATACGCAACCCTGAGGTCTTACAGACATGAGAGACTTGGCTCAATTTACTAACCAAATTATGGCTTTTCATTCACACTGACCGACACTTAAAATAAAGTGGTGAAATCTGGAGCGTGCTACTTCTCAAGGGTATGTATGTAGGCGTGCTACTTATGCAATGATTGGATAGTCAGTGCTGTATACAAGCCTTATTGTAACAACCTGGTTAATTGGTGACAATGGCTTTGATTTGACTAAACGTTCTCGTTGCATATGACAGACGTCAGACGCAAAGATAATTCTACAGCCACCAATGCTACTTGATTTTACGGTTTCTTATTTGTCAAGGAACGCTACCTTCAAAGGTCTCTCCTCAAGAACCCTAGTCACGCCTCTCTGAGTTGCCAGAATTTCAGTAGCTGTCTTCACTTCACTGTACTCTTCAGCTTTTAATAAATTCGACAGGTGATATTACTAACGTGAAACTTGGAGGTATAATCAATATGTTCTGACAGAATGGGCAGTGCTTGGGTTGTTCCAGTGGTTATAAACCCTCGTCTATGCCAAATATATGCTTCCAGTCCACATTCCTGTGAGTATTTGCATTCAGTCAATTTGAGCGTAGTCCTTAGTATTTGGTTTATGAAAGTATTGTAGAATATTCATTGCAGAATCATGCGTGGCTTCATCAATCAAAGTAGAATAAGAGAACTTTGATTTTCAATGAGGCGTTAGATGTGAATTGTAGGAGAAGAGACTCGACCATTTTAAGGTTCCTTGCGCATACTTAAGTGATCATAACTGGAATGAGCATTTGACTTCTCACGCACTTTTAACTTCGGAAAACTGCCATTGTAAATAGTTGGCCTGCTAAAAATCCAAATGGAAACATCTCCCACAGATTCTCTTAATGTCAACAGAAGGGTTGAAGACGAGGTTATTTTGGAAAAGAGCCTCACAGTGGGAGAGTTGATTTTTCTGAATGGTCTTCAAAGTCTTCTCAAAGCAACCCTCGCCTTTTCTTGTCACCAAGCCCAATAGTTCGGCAATGATTTTATCGAGAATACCTATCTGCTACTACTGTACATTCTTGGTGTTATTATACTGAATTTTGAGTTGTCAACTTGCCTTATAAAATTTAAAGTACATAAAGTGGCTTCACATTACATTCCCAAGGGCAATGTTCTGCCCCACAAAGCCATCATCTGTGTGTCCAGCACTTGATGCGTTAAATTTTGGAAGGAATGAGACGTAATGAGCAGAATGCACAGCAGTCACTGCTCCAGCAACCACAATGTGAGGTCCTTTTATTTCGATGAAAAGTGTGTGCTGTCATTTATTACTGCTAGACCCTGCCTCTCGAGCAATTAAGAAAAAGTGATTATACATAGGGCCTTACGAAGTTCTTACCGACGTTGTAGAATCATAATTGAGGATGAGTACATTGGACCCAACTAAGTGCTTACCAGTATAACAAATTTCAGGCTTTGAGACTGACATGCGGATAGTATAACCCACTGGTCAGACGGGAACCTCCCACTTAGGCCTTGAAAGGCACTATTGTCCATGCATGCTTACACATGCCAGACTTTTCATCCCACGATTAAGTAGCTAATCGCGAACCTGTGTGATGATTCCTATCGTCATGACCTCTTGAGCAAGTTGTGACAGATGACCTTAAGCGCAACTTTCTCTTTGAGACGAATTCAAAAAACAGTCATTATGTACTGTAGCAAATGCATAGACCTGATAAGACCGAGTGGAGATCGGTAGGATAAATGGGGTTAGCATGTGTACTCCCTATTTATCTCCGGTTTTCTAACTCCTATTGACCCTTTTATCTACTCAGTTTGGCACCATTTTGACGCTGTCCCTTCCTTTGGTTATGCAGCCTTCTTCGGAAGGAGGATGTCATATTTCGTGCGCGCATTAATAATGTGCCACCTCCAACCTCGTGGCCCTTCGATCGCATTGTTTGCTATTCTAAAAGGAGATTCATTCAAACGCTCAGGGGAGGGGTAGAGAAGCTAAGAAACCGAAGAGAACTGTATTATACTTCAAAGAGACTGCATCGCTGTAAAAGCTGGAGAGGCCCGTTCTACACAACCTTTGATTGAGACAACTATTTTTGCACCTTTGAGTCTTATCAACAAACAGCCGCAGGGCTAGACACTCAGCCACATGTAAAATACCAAGTTGGTAGTAGTCCCACTCCTTCAAAGCCGGATACTGCAATACATCACAAATAGGACCAAACTCTTCACATCTACCAATTACGCCATATGTTACCTCTGGAGTGATTCTATCGAAGGAGGTAAACATCATAGGTTTCTATGCGACACGATGCCAACTACATGGGTTAAAGGATGTGAAAAACAATATTATGGCCATATCACCATAGTCGATGCGAAATTTGGCTGAGATTAACGTAGTAGCAGGTATGTGTGGACATTAGACCGCTGCTCCAGTAAATTGGGTAAATTTTTCATAGCGTACCTGTGTTAAAGAGCGCGTACTGCTAGCTGTTAGAATGGATGTCAAGGCTTTTAAACCAATGAAGACAAGAGCCTATCTTGTTTAAGGATTGAAGCAAATGAAGCTAAAAGGAAATTTGAGGTGACAATCTCGAAATCGGTCATTAGAAACAAGCTTTGCACTGCGTAAATGTCAGATTGCGAGCACATTTTATCCTCCAAACCACTTCTTACCGACATGAATTCCCTTCAAATCATTTCTTTCGCAGTTCTCATTGCTTAAAAGGTGAGTGTCTGTCTCTCATTTGCTCAACAAAAATGCAAAGGATTAACAAGTTACTTTAACTCTAGCAATGTAGCAACATTAATGAGGTTTACAAAAAAAGCGGATTCAATGTTATCTTTTGAGTAATTGATTCTAATCAAATTTCACCTTCGTTCAATTTGACAAAAGTTCCTGATCTGCCCATGACGTCCGACGACAGATTTTTGTAAACACCAAAGTTATATTTGCACTCCTTTGGTCTCTTTGACTCATCCACTGAAATCGCAAAATTCGCACCAACATCTGATAATGACTTCATTGCCTTTGCCTGATTCTCTAAAGAAATAACAAGAATGCAACAAAAAGAATACTGGCGCATGAAGTCACCATTCATCCGTGGTGCTGCTCGAAGCATAACATGCAATAAATGCGAGTCAATCTAGTGTCGATCAGACACACTTGGAGAAACAGTAGTCTTTTGGAACACGAAACTTCTGTGCCCACAAGCTAACGACATCAGTGATGGAGAGAGAGATTGTAAAGTCCAGTTCTCTCTTCAGGGTAACAGCATTCACACACATACTGGAGTGAAGAAATGGATTAATCGTAGAGCCCTTTACATCCCACTACATTATTGTGGCAAGTAAACTCTTAACTTTTGGCCTTTACAGTACAAAACAATTAGTTGGCAGAGTAACGCATTGAAGGGCAAACTATGCAATCTTCTGGTTATTTTTTAACAAAGAGTAATTGGTTTGCTTGAGGAAGATTTCATACTGTAGGCAGACATTACCCCAAATATCATCGATGGAAAGTTTATTATCGCCACCGTAAGATTCAGGCATTAACTCCTTCAACCCTTCAACCGCATCGAAAGCAGGACTCAGGTCAGAACCCAGCACCAGGGTCTACAAAAGTTGGAGGTGGTGAATGCGTGGCAGGGCGATGAAGTCATAGTGGAGTATGGGACTTACCCGTGATTTGATTTTCTCATTTAACCACTCGGAGTAGATATTGAACAAAGTTTCAAACACCTTTGGGGCATTGTAGTAAATGAGCTTCTTTATTCGGAAGGGCAGACACTCCTAAAGTAAATGCAGCGACCACGAATGTAGAGTAAAGAATCTTCTTAAACTCAAGCAGCTTTTGTAAATTCCGTTACTTTTATGAGAAATGAAACTTTAAACTATCTTAAAATCAATTTTAAATGAGTAATGGGGGAAGAAGTCGAATGTACACCTGGAAATATTTCGTTGACATTTTTGTTAGCTTTTGGTCAAACATTTGCATGAGTATGTCTTTGTGAAGATTTGTAAAATCCACAATCATGCATATACCACCAATTTGGGCTCGAGGATCGACCAAACATGCATCGTCAAACACTTGCAGTGCGCTGTACAGATCCGCCATCGAGACCACATCGAGATCAAGATTTGCTAAAAGCATCGAAACAATGGGCATTTACTTCACAATTTATGCACTTCCGTGCTGTGCAACACGAAAGATCCCGTGCGGGCCACATTATGAGGACTTACCACACTTCATCAGAATAACTAGAGTGCCTTCTTTTGTGAATCCTAGGGGTGTGTAACATCTATAAAAGATTCAAAACAAGAAACGAAGCTATTTTACTGAATTTCCACCTTTAATTTTCCTAATTCTATTCCTGCTCCTTGATTTGTGTTGTGCGTATAAACTCGTCATACCTATCTCTACTGAAGGAGATGTGTCCATGATAATACCCACAGCGATATATTCGGGAGCTTTAAAGGTTATACAGAATTGTGCGATTTTAATGGTCCACCCAAGTGTTAGCGCTTCAATGCAAGAAGACAACATGCACCAAGGTCTAGAAATGGTGATCTTAAATGGGATTTACTTCAGGTCAATAAGTTTATTCCAATTTGCCTTGTTGGTAGCGGGTTCCTCGAACCATGGAAGATAGCCTTCGACAGCTGAGGTGCGGAAGGTGCAGAATTTGTCCAGGCGCTGTTGTGCTTTCAAGTGGTTGTACTTCGAATGACGCAAGAATGCCAACAAAAACACATCGTCTATCGAAAATGGAACATAACATCATTACCACACCTACAAGATTGGGTATCCGTGGCGGTCTCTCGCACCCCAAACAGGCCCGTTAAATTTTGTTTAGGGTTTATTCACCACTGTTGGATTTAGTGACTAAATGCTATTAGTCACTTATAGTTTACCAAAATTCTTGAGACTTAATGGAAGTAATGAGTGTACCAATTATCACCAGTTAAGCGGAAATGCACCTCAAACCAATGCATGATTTCGGCCCAAAGTTAGTTAACAGCTTGCATCCCCTTTATGTGAGTTAAGTAAGCATTAAGCATGCATGACAATGTGTTTAAAGTACCTGTGGTGCACTTCAAGTGAGGCATTGAAGAAAGCCAGCGTCGAAACGATTCTAGATGTGCTGAGACTTGGTCAGGATTCTCTCCCAATTCCTTTAACGCTCGTTTTTTGTACAATGAGGACAAGGGCTTTGCAGGATCGTAGAGGGTATATTGCATCGGTCCGGTCTTTGGCATCCTTTAGAACAGATTGAGGTCGAGTGACTTTTAACAATGGTATTTGTGTCAACGGCTGTGTTGCAGGTCTACGTGCTAAAGTTAACTATGCTACCCAGTGTTGGCATGAGATCAAAGCCTATCTGGAGAACCTTGTCACACCCTGTTGTACCTCTCTATGGTGGAACACATCAAAGCGCCTACAATTCATGCCAATGCAATTGGGAATTTCATGATGGCTGCCATAAGTTCTGGCGTATCTTGTATCTTGAATGCACTTGCGCAATTCAAGCTTCGTTTTGTAAAACGCACACACACAACTATCCTCACTAACAAATAATGGAGCACCATTAACCTTGTGAGAAGATGTTGATCAACCGTTCAAGTTCCTATCTTGATAACAGACTAATAAGCAAGACTGTCTGCCCATCAACTCATGGCAATAGGTAGACAGTCTTAAAACAACCATTGTGGTATCCAATGTGATGCATAGAAAATGCCTTTTTTAGCAAGTATTTTCAACCGACCAGGGCTCGCAACATTTCTAAGTTTTGAGCCTCATTTATATTACCGGCCTGTATGTTATAAATTTACTTACTACACAAGAGCATCCAACAACTGCCTCTGATATCTGAGACACCACCTTTTTGGTTTGCCTGCTTGAATGCACTCTGCTAAGGCTAGTTGAGCATGTTTGATTTTTGTCATTTACTAACTAAACTGATTGTCGTAAGGCGAGGAGGTACAAAAAATCGCTGATCCAAGCATTACTTGAAGTAAATGACACCGTGATTTCGGTTGTCACAACATTTTTTGATAGCAGATTTTACTATCCCTTAGATTACATTCATTAAGCGATTCTAAAGATGTTGCAGTTGTGATGCGTTATTTGAAGAGTTCTGCTGTTCATTCACCAATGGGTTCGACATTTAAAGGTCCCATTTGGTGGGTAGGGCTTGGACCTACCTGAAACGGCTACCTTCCAAAGAGGCTAGCTATCTTGCTATTTTCGAGGGATCATTTTGCATTCAACTTTATGGAACTTAATTGGAATATTTTTATCTATTTATAATGCTGGCAGTAGTAAAATTTCCATAACTAAGACGCCTCCCATTTAGGAGCTTGCTGGAGCTACAGTGGGAGGAACATAGCAGTGGTAATGGTATTAGTGGCTGCCATTCCTCAAACTTAAAGAAAACATATTAGCTCAAGTTTACTACCAACCGATTAAACAATGGGAAGAAAGAGTAAGAAAGGGTATAGGAGTAAAGCGCTTCATCAGTGGATGCAAGCTCGCCAAAAAAGGTATAAAGGAGGAAAAATAAGAGGGAAACATAATGGGAATACACATAGACTTTCCACTAACCTGGGCAATGGTGCTACGCCCGCGCAGGAACGAGGCGGTAGGTAGCGCCTTTTCGAGAGAAGGGAGAGGACACAGTCTACTGCTACTTAGCTAACACACCATCAGACCGAAATCAGCCGCTGTACGATCAGAATCTGAGACCTACGATGATGACGGATCAATCTTCTACGTCCTCATGCACAAGGCGCATCATCAAACCCTATTAAAATGCAGGACATGCTTATTCTGACATCGCGAATCACATCAAACCGGGTAGGGTTGAGAGAACACGTAAAAAATATGAGAAACTTGTTTTCTCACTGTAGGTTGTAAAGAAGAAGGTGGGCAAGAGATAAAATAAGTAAGTCCAGAGCCATCTTCAAATCGAAAGTGTGAGTGGCATTCGCAAATTGGGTAAAGGGAGAAATGGGAGAACTATCTCACGTTTCATGCGTATGTTTGTGGTAGAATGAATGAGGAAGTGGGAGGGAAAAAATTAAATGCGGAGCATTGGATCAAGTTGATTCCACTAAGGTAGTGGAGTGCAATACGACCCATAGTTGGAGCGATAGATGGCTTAAATGAGGGAAGGAAAAGAAGGGACGAAGTGGGGAGGGAGCAATTATGGCTTTAGCTGGAATGCTTGAAAAGAACCTCCTTTTTCTTGTTTCGATGATTTTGTGCTGTCATCAGTGGAAGGGAGGCTCCTTCATCAGTGAGGTTGGGAAGTAAGAAAAAGGCTTGAGAAGTTTGTGCAGACCCCTTATTGGTGACGATGCGGAGACATGATGATCAATAAAATGAAAACAAAATTTAAAGTAGCCAAAAGAAAATCTGCTAATCCCTAGAGTAGAGCGATCAAGATAGAGGACAGGATTTCGAGGAAGGAAAGGACGGATAGAAGGAATGGAGGACTTGGCATTTCCCTAAAATATTAGAGTTGAGGCAAAGGAGGGTAATAATAAGGATAATAGCCTATGGCGAAGCAGAGAAATGGGACAACAAGACTGTAGTATAGGAAAGAAGTGGCATTGCGATAGTGTATGAGACATTAGGAGAAGTAAGAGAAGACGGATACATAAACTTTAGCTTGACTTCAGGTGAGAGGACCAAAGTTGGGATGAGTTATGGAGGTATTGGGATGGGCAGAAGCATGCTTATTGATGGAGGTGAGAAGGGCATGAATGAGTGCTACACTTTCAATGCATTAAAGAGGCGACGAAGGAAGACACACTTGTGCAACTAGACGACAAAACTGGTATACTGCAGCAAGTGAGGTCTGTTCATTTCCACTTTTTGTAGTAGTGGAGGCGGCCCAGGTTGTGAGGCGATAGAAGGAACAAGAAGGGGATGCATGTGTTTCCGCAATAGTTGAGATTGGTAGTTAGGAAGACGCGGAGGTTAATAATTGAGGGGCACTTGAAAGCATGTGCAGTGAAGGGGTAGCCACAGTGTCAGACAAAATGCCACATTTAAGCTAATGAGTTGAGGCCAAATGAGTAGTGGAGCCAATGAATATGTGAGGGGTGGGCTGGATTGTTAGATGGAGGTGAGATCTATTGGCATTATCTACACGGTAGGGATCATTCTATATTAGAGTTCACGATAGTCATGCCATACAATGTCAGAAATGCAAAATAGATTCTAACATAATGCGACTAAAGTCAGTGCCACTTGGACCAGGTCCTGGCCATTGATTGATTTTTTTGGCATATTCTTGCACGTGACGGCGAATTCATGTTAAGTGAAGGCAGGCCAGTGCCTCTTTTGCTAAACGACCCTATATTTAGGCCCGTTCACCAGCGGCCAGTCAGATTAACTACCGACTTACCAGCATTCACTGCGCCTCGAACCCTCTCGACATGTAAGCGTCGAAAACGCATTTCCCCACAAAGTTTCGTTCAAGACGTCGTCAAGAATGTCGATGTATCCGATGTGTTTCGGCAATCAAGTTGCGATGAACTGACGGCAAAAAATAAGAATGCAATACAAAGAATTATTCAAATTATTTCTGGAAGTCCTCGTATTTACTTTAATAAAACGGAATTGAGCATTCTTCTGCACTTGTATCTTCAATTAACGGGCCTTAAAATGCGGGATATTTCGAGCGAGGAGATGAAAAACTTCCTCCATAGCACCTTGGGAATTACTAACTTGCATTCGTTGGATGGTATATGCAGAGCATCAGCAAAAATGAACATTGACTCAACACCGACGTGCAAGCGATATATTTCCCCTTCCGCTTTTGTCCGTACACTTTCAATCATGCTGAGAGGAACGGTAGACGACAGAGCCGAAATGGCTTTCTATGCTATAGACTTTGATTCGGACGGCCTGTTAAGAAAGGCAGTCGAGATAAGACGATTATTGCAGGATTCCTTTGATGCGTCAATCGCTGCCCAGAATGCCGAAATTGATCCTGAGGAACCGATCAGAGATGTGGCAAACTTTTTATGTGACAAACTAAACTGTACAATCACCTCACATGTATCATTGCAGAACTTTCGCGAGAAGTGTCAACAGCAACCCTGGATTGTGGAATGCCTCCTTCCGTGCATACCTGAGGAGAAAATAAACTACATTTTCCAAAGTATCTTCACAACTAGTGTCAACATTCCGTCCCTAGAAGCCGCGGCTCAACCTACAGGACCTACGATAAAGTGTGCATCCATGAGGAGAAGCGCATTCTCAGTAGTAAAATGAGTTTTCTTGGATCTTTCATGTTTGACAAATTGGCAAATACTGCAAGAGACCCTTTGCATTTATACGCATCCGATGATGCATAGCATAAAATAAATGCTACTATAATTTAATAATAAATGTATCGCAACAGCGGCAATAATACGGACACTAAAACAGCTACCACAAATTTCGCATCAGTCATAACAATCGAGCCACATTTAGCGCAGATATGATGGCTACCTTTCAGTACGACTGATGTGTCTATTGCCATACAAATCCAACAAGGTTGTCAGGAGTAGCCTAAGAAGCGACCGACAGTGATAATCCCACAAATCAGATTTGTAGCGAAACGAAAGGCATTATGATGGACAGCATGGAGGAGGCTTTGAATTCGCACACAGAGAAATCCGCATTTAATGCAGAAATAAAAACTTTTACTCTCTTTTCAATGCTATCTTATTAGACAGACAAATTTGAGAACCAGATTTAACCAAAATCCAATTGTGCATATGGAAAGGGAGACACGGTTTTATAAATGCCGGAACATATTTTGTACCTTAAGCAGAACCAAACCTAAACGCTTCCGCTCTTAGCACTCAGTCCTAAAATGGATTTAAAGCACTCAATGAGCACTCTACTCAACAAGCACACTCCATTACAGGATTAATTACTCAATTTTTACAGCTCTGAGTTGCTGTACCTTCAACATAAGGTACATTTAACTAGTATACTAACCTTGGCTACTCAATGTGAATCCGC